CGAATACACTTCCGATTCCGATAGCGTAGATATACGCGTAGCTGGTAAGAAAAAAAAAAAAGCAAACCTAATTAAAAAATAACAATTAACTCGAACTTATAAAATGCAACGTCTTAAAGATGTGATATCACGATTTAAAAAAAAAAAAGTAACAAATACTATTTGTTTGATTTGTTCTTAGGCATATTTATACACCCCAATTGCCAAGACAACAGTTTCTTCGCAAAGTGTGATTTAATCGTAATGGCACGTTACTGCCAACACAAGTATTATGCCAGATTTTGTTGTCGATCATGCACGGAGGATGGCCAATTACCATCGAGAGGACCACACCTTGACGATTTGAGAAGAAAAAGAAGAATGATACATTAAAAATATTTGACTCTCGCGAGACTAATCAAATAATCATATTCATTCGAGAGATAATAATATGATGGACGACGATCGTAATATTTCTTGATATATTAACATCCAATAATATATAACTAAGGTAAATTATAAAACTAAGGGTAAAAAGAAATGATATGAATTGAAATAATACGAGCACCTTTTTTTTCTGCATCGTAACGCTGTGCAAATCGGCATTCATTCACTGCCAAAGCCTTAGGAACGTCTCTACACATAGATAGATAATATACATACATATGCATATATATATATATACATAATATTATATATGTATATATATATATAGAATGTTACTGAACAAAAAAAAAAAAACAACGGATTATTGGAATAACTTAAAATGGGAGCTGAGATTAATGTGTACTCAAGAAAAATCATTCATCGATCTTAATCGTCCATCTTACCCATCATTATTTTCAATTGTTTCTTTCTATATTTCTTTTTCTATATCTATTTCTATTTCTATATATTTTTATTCTCTTTATTTTTCACTTTCCTACTTTATCTAACTTTCTCATCCATGTATATACAGTCTGACGCTGAATACTAGTCCGACAGAGTCCGAAATAAGCGGATTTGATTTTCTTCGAGTTTTCAAACAAACAAAAAAAGAAAGAAAGAAAGAAAGAAAGGCATTCGATGACACCTTTGCGTATAAACTATATTATAGTATATAATAGTTGTATGTATGTACGTCATAGCGATTTAATTTTGCACCCCCCCCCTCTCTCCTCACCTGCAACAAGGATTTGTTTAACAATATTCATAGATTATTAACGCGGCAACATATCCACGCGAATTCGTCGATCGTAAAAAACGTTTCTACAAATGTTCTTTTTTTTGTTTTTTTTTTTGATTAAAAAAAATTTACAAACGAAAAAAAAATATGAATCAAAATCGTTGATAAAATGAATTTGTCATAATTTATTATTATATAATTTATAGTCTCGCTAGGCGTACGTTGTGACGGAAAACAAAACAAAACAAAACAAAACCTTAAGATTGATAAAAGAGACAATTTGATATAAAAATGATCGATAAAAGAAAAATGAAGAATAAATAAAAAATGGTGGGGATGAATGACGTTTAAAAAAAAAAACCTCGCCTATTGTCATACGAAGTCGAGAACAAATCCTTCTAGGTACCTAGTTTCTATGATGCATATTACGAGCGTTATGTTGTACAATATAATAATAATAATAGTTGATTATACAATATATCGTTTATAATCTATTATATTGTTATTACTTATTTTTAACGAAAACATATTCAAATGTTGCCATAACGTTGACCAGTCAAAAGAATTACAAAAAAAAAAAAGAAGAAGAAAAAAACAGAGATGCTACATGTTTTGTTTAACACGTTGATTGCCACGTGGAATTATTCGATTATCCAGCATTAGTTCTGTCAATCAAAGCCACGTGGATGACACGTGGACGGTGTTGCTATGTTGTTTTATATTTGATCATTCAATTAAAATCATTAGATTCGCATGATAAAAATTGGAATATTTGCGTAGCAGTCAACGAGTTATAATTACTTGGAAGAAAATAACATTTGTTTTCATTTTGTAAAAATGATTTCCAAGAATAGAATTGCAATATATGTTGCATCTTTGTCGAATATGTGTGCGTGTAGTATCTCTTAAGGAATCATTACAATGAATCAATCAAAATGAGTCATTCAATCAAACAAATAATCAATCAATCAATCAATCAATTAATTAATTAATTAATTAATTAATAACGAATGTGTCTCGTAGTTGAGACAAATAATGCATTTATGTTTTTGTTCCTCTCGGCAATGAATTTTATTAGAAATCTATGTCACACATTTTCATTGAATTAATATCTCATAAAAACTATTAATAATACTTTAAGGAAATATCGATGATACCAACCATAACACATTTTGATATACGCGAATTAAAAAATTAACGCGTAATCGATGACGTTACACACGTACGATAGAACATTTAAGATTATTATTATTATTATTATTATTAATATTAATATTATTATTATAATGATTACTCATTTTTACGTCGCTTTGGTTACAGTCGAATAAGAGTGCCTTATTAGATGTCCTTAAAAGAAATAATAAAAAAATAATAAAAAACCATTAAAAAAGAAAATTTACCAAAAAAGAAAAATTTACAAAAATAATAAAATGAAATGAAAATATTCAGGAAAGAGTAATTAGGGGTATATAATTTATAATATACGCGTTTATATCATATATATATATCGCGTTTTGTTAGTGTAAATATTATATTATGGTGGTATGTTGCAGCGCGAGAACAAGAAATGAAAGAAAATAAAAGTAATCGTAGTGGATGAGAAGATTGAGTTTATGATAAATATTAAAAAATGAAAAGAAAAAAAAAAAAAGAAAAAGAAAAAAGAAAAAAGAGCCGAAAAAGGAAGAAAATAAAACGAGATAAATTAAAATACGATAATTAATTAAATGACGTTTTTATCATCGAATATACTTCTTCTCTTCATATCATTCTAGATACGACCAAAACGAGTACGCGTATTAAGACGATTGTAGTGTTGAACCAAAATTTAACACACACGCACACACATTGTTGAAAGATTTTTCTTATATATTTAAAAAATAAAAAAAAAATAAAAAAGAAAATAAATAAATAAAAACTTAATACAAAAGAATATTAGTCGAAGATATAGAGAGATAAAAAGAGACACGTGCAAGGATATAACGTAATCAGTTTTAAAAAAAAAACTAGCTGTCGATGAGAAAATATTTAAAAAAAAAAAAAAAAAAGAAATATCATACAAATATAAAACGTTGATAAATAAAATTAACTAATGTGAAAGAATAAAAATAGTAAGAGAACGCGTACACAATATTACACGCATATACACAAAACGCGTTAATAACTCGTATATTAGTAAGTTACATTTAAACGTAAGTAATTTATGAGATAAATAATTATCGTATGTGAATTTTACGTATCGTCAATCTCGCGTGTTTCAAAAATTGCATATTATATACAACGCGTACAAACAAATATACATTAAACGAATATACATTAAAACGTATACACGTACACTAAGACTCTTTTAACCCTTTCACGACTAACATTGGTTAATATATTCACCTGAATGATTTACGTTTTAGCTAATCCCATTAAATGTTTCACATTGATTATCGTAACGCGAATCGATACATCATGCATTATTTGGTTAACAAAACAAACAAAATTCTTGATACAAGTTAAGTGTCAAATTCGTTTTACATGTACGTACTAAAAATTTAAAAAAAAAAAAATGAGAAACACATTTAACGTTTACAATGTACACTACTAATGGCATGCACGAGTATCCCATTTGTTAGTTGTGAAATGGTTAAAATAGAATTATTACGTATAAATGTATATACCTAACTTTATTAACAATTTTGGAATCATCAATTTTTTTCTATACGTAGAGATCTTTGACGGACATAGATTCTCCTATGTTTATTATTAAATCCGAAGGGAATGATCGTGATGTTAAATGCGTGTTATTCAATTTTTAATTAGAAAGAAAAAAGAAGGAGGGAGAGAGAGAGAGAGAGAGAGATAAATTTATTATGATTATAAGAAATAATCTGGAACATTCCTCGCATTTATTAACCATAAGACGAATTAATCTAGATTCGACAGATCATTATTAATATTATTATTATTATTATTATTATTATTAATATTATTATTATTATTATTATTATTATTATCATCATCATCATTATCGCATAAATGAATAAATAAATCAATAAAATGAATAAACACAATGCGAGTGCATACACAATTGTATGTATGTTAATTATTAATGAAAGAATTCACTGTCATATTCGGATATATAAATAAATTTGATTGTTTTTATTCTAATTGAAATAAAATAAAAACGAAAATTATCCTCTTATTTTATGTACAACGTAATCCTAAGACATATTAGCGATAAACAAAATAAAAATTAATTAAAATCCCATCACGATCGACGCTACGGATTTCAATAAAAAAAAAAACAAAACAAACAAAAAATGGTATAAGAGCGTGTATCACCGATAGAGAGAATTTGCCAAAAATTAAATTTATCATTAAACGTATTTAATTAATACTCGGAATACTATTGTCACGTGTAACGATCCTTAAATGATATATTACGATTATAAACTGGAAAAATAATCTTAGGCGATGATTAATATTCTACGATTCTAAATAAGAAAAAAAAATGAAGAAAAAAAGAATAAAAAAAATGAAAGGATAAAATAATCAAC